CAAGAGCGAGCTCCATCTCAAAAAAAAAGGGAAAAAAATTAAAAGTCTGTCACTACCTGACATTAAATGAACTTTCTATTTCGGAATACTGAATGCCCCCATGTATCATTAAATAAGTAATTGTTATGTTGGACAATATGGCTGTACTTAATGAACCAGTCAAGAATTGATTCTGCTGAATTTAACAAATCTGTTTTGTCAAATATCTATTGTAACCAAAGCACCTGGTCCTCTTTTCACGATGCATTTAAGTGAACCCATTAGTGACTTCAGATAAAAATCTTGAAGTATCTCTGTCCTAAAGGCGTGAACAGGTTTCTAACTCCTCAATGTGCTAAGGACCTTTCAGCAATGGTAAGAAATCTTACAGTGTGGGGCAGCTTCTGTGCTGAGGATCCGTGGTCATGAGTATTGCAATATGGTGAGTCTCACCCAGAAAACCCGCCATGCAGTCCCAGCTAGGTCTTCATCCCTGTCCCAGGCTTCTAACTCCAGTTGACTCTACTTCAAAGGAAAGAAAGCTTGTTTGGCCAAATACCTGTGGAGCATTGGTTTCAGGAATGTGACGTGCTGTTAAACCACAGTCGTGTAAGCTTTTGGCCGCTGAGGTTTTTCAAGGATGAAAGTTTCACTTTTCAAAGAAAAATATGGCACCATGTAAGTTGGAGATACGTAAGGTAAATGGTGTCAATTGGCCCCAGGAAGCTTTTCTTCCAGAGAGCACCTACTATGTGTCTATTCCAGGAGGGGGAGGAGAGGTATGTGGAAATGGACTAAATGCATAAGACTAGAACAATGAGACACAGTTCCTGCCTTCGAGCACCTTTCAGGAGGTGGAGCTAAAGGACAGCTGGGATGGGCAGAGGACAATGTCAGTACATGGCATTGTGGGGCCTGGAGAGGACTGGGGAAGGTAGCCGGATGTGACCCCAGAGGCCAGGTCAAGCGAATGGTCAGCATGGGCAGGTTGGGGGAACTAGAGGTGGTTGGAGCAGACACAGGACCTGGAGCAGGAAACACCAAGGCACAGGGCAGGGGACAGGTCCCTGGGCAGTCAACACAGGGCACTTGGTGCCTTTCTGAGGTTGCATGTCTGGGCTCCTACCTCCACATCTGCCTCTGAGGTTTGGGAGAATGATCACCAGACTGCTGAATACTGCTGGAATAGGACATGGGGCTGTCCCATCTCCCCAGCCCGGGGCATTTCAAAGTGGGTATCTGAGGAACTGAATTAATACAGAATCACATTCTGGACATTCACAACTGTTTGATTTTGGAAGGGGGCTGGGGGATCATCTAACCCAATCTCACCCTCCTTTTCTTGATCTCTGTGACAGCTTAGGTATCCGGCTTCATATTTGATTGCCTCTGTGGACAGGGAGCTCACTCTCTCCCTCTCACAAGGTAACCTGTTTCATCACCAAAAGGCTGGAGTTGTCTCAGAAGTGTTCCTTATATGGCACTAGCCTCTCTTTCCTTCTACTTGACCCTCCTAAGCGCAGGCTCTGTCCCTCAGAACGGGTCTGAACCTGTGTTTACTCCAGAAGCCCTTTAACTGTCTAGAGCAGCGACCACAACCTCCCTAAACGCCCTTCTTCCTCCCTAGGTGCTTTTGTGCGGTGGTCCCTGCACTTGGCTGCTGTCATCTGAACGCTGACCAGTTTGCCAGCATTCTTTGGAAACTGTGCTTCCTGCTCCCTCAAAACTGAGAGCGATTTTCAAGGTAGAGTGAAAGCAACATAAGTCACACACGGGCAGTGTGGGGGCCACTGCTGAACACCTGGGCCGCTGACCCCACAGACCACCAAGGGCTGGCAGCTGCTTCAGGAACTAGAAGATGCACAGGTCAGCCCATCCTGGAGTGACCCCCTTCCAGAGGGGCCAGGCAGCCTTGACCAGGCCTGGTGTGGAGTACTTGCTAAGCCCTGGGTGGCTTGTAGCTTCTCACTGTCTGGGGTAAAAGCAAGCCCTGGGCCAGAGTCTTGGACACTGCAATTCGTGGACACTGGTGGGGAAAACCACCGGCCTCTGAACCTGGCATAGAAGGGAGAAGCCCGCCCCCTTGTGGATCTCTGGAGAGTTACACGGTGCAAAATACACGGAAACCGCAACAGACCAGGAGTCTGGGGGAGCAGCCACCTCCTCTCCCTGCTCCCATTTCACCAACCGCCTCTGAGGACCTGCAAGAGAACTGATCTGTGCTGTCACGGAGTAGGAGAGTAGTAGCAGGGGACATAAAAGGAAGCTAGGAAGCTGAGACCCCTGGATTATGTCTGGCAATAGTGGGTTAGAAAAAAAAAAAAGAAGAAAATGGCACCTGGAGGTCTTTCCGGGTGCTGCCACTCCCTGTGTGGCCCCAGGAAAACCACAGGCTCTCTCTGGGCCTCCAAGGACCTTTCTAGGTAAAGGCTTCAATCCCTCTGAATGCTGCAGCCTTGGGCTTTCACGTTTCGTTCCCAACAGTGGTCTGTTGTTGGTGGCACCACAGTCCTGATTGAAGAGAATAGGACATGGGAGGCAGCAAGGGCAAAGGGCATTGCACAAAGGGAAGCCAAGGGCACCAGTTTGGCCAGTCCAGTCCCCACCCTTGGCCCTGGACAGCACAGCAGCCCATCACTGCACCATGCTGCTGGGAGCCCAAAGAGTCATTTTCCAGAGTGAGTCCAAGAGGGGTCATGTCCCCTCCTTCCACAGTTTTGGCCAAATCTACATCATTTCTCCATCATGTGGATAGTAACCCAGAGGTGACTGTGCCATAAAACATGCTTGACCCAGAGAGATGTGACCCAGGCCTATTGTCCAAGACAGCAGCCTCGCTCCCACACTTCCAGACTGCATTTACTCTGCATGAAGCACATGATCAAAGATTGTGTTTTTAGCGTATTTTCAAGATAAATTCTTTGCTACTCTGTAACTGATCAGGATAATTGGGCTAAATCTTACCCTGGGAAACACAAACCAGAAGCGCTTTCCTCGAAGCTCCCCAGATTAAAAAATGAATGATATGTTAAGATGGCTCAGATTTCTGACTGCACTACACTCACAGAGAAACAGCCAGTAAGTCCATGAAGATAGTGTGTTAAAGGCCAGCTGTCCTCCAGAAGAATGAGAAGTATTAAAACTCTTTTAGGCCAGGCGCGGTGGCTCATGCCTATAATCCAAGCACTTTGGGAGGCCAACACAGATGGATCACTTGAGGTCAGGAGTTTGAGACCAGCCTGGCCAATGTGGTGAAACCCCATCTCTACTAAAAATACAAAAATTAGCCAGGCATGGTGGCACACACCTGTAGTCACAGCAACTAGGTGGCTGAGGCACAAGAATCACTTGAACCCAGAAGGTGGAAGTTGCAGTGAGCTGAGATTGCACCACTGTATTCCAGCCTGGGTGACAGGGTAAGACTGTCTCAAAACAAAAAACAAACAAACAAAAAAACACTCTTTTAAAATGAATTTGTGCTGGGAGCAGTGGCTCACGCCTGTAATCCTAGCACTCTGGAAGGCCAAGGTGGGTGGATCACCTGAGGTCAGGAGTTCAAGACCAGCCTGGCCAACATGGTGGATCCCCTGTCTCTACTAAAAATACAAAAATTAGCCAGGCATGGTGGTACTCACCTATAATCATAGCTACTCGGTAGGCTGAGGCAGGTGAATTGCTTGAACCCAGAAGGCAGAGGTTGCAGTGAGCCAAGATGGTACCGCTGTACTCCAGCCTGCGTGACAGGGCTAGACTCTGTTTCAATAAATACATAAATAAAATAAAAATGGCTTTGTCTAAATTATCTGAAATAATTATGCCCTCAGGCTAGCATGCTCCTAGCTGGAAATGTCCAGGACACATGTGCGAAATAGAAGAGTCATCTCTGCACACTTCAGTACACTAAAGCTTTGGCTGAAACTACAAAGCTTGCAATGTCTCATTTTTTTAAATGGCATTATAAGGCATCCTGAGTTATTACATAAATACCCTTTAAAATTCCAAGGAGTCCAACAACAAGAACAACACAAGTTCTACCTTAAAAACTACAGTCAGGTAGAACACATAACTCTAACTGTACACAGATCCCTTTTCAAACACCTATTTAGACCATCTGGTTTCTGCAGCATTGCCAAATTCTAAAATCGTAATGAAAAATGTAAAGTTTAAAACCTACAAGTCATCAGAGGTTCAGTGAGCAGATTGTGCCATTCCAAAACTGAAAATGTGCTTGCATAAGCAAGTCACCGGGGCTAACCTTTCTGGATTGAGAGTCTGGCCTTCAGTTCAGACCGTGGCTATGCCAGGGTCAGAAATGTGACAAAACTGTGCTTTCACAGAGGTTAGCCAAGGTTCACAGGGTCATGACTGGGCCATTTTATCAGTCATGTCAGGCTCACACCCTATTGCCTGGGATAGATAAAAACTTTATCTGTCAGTTTGCTAAATCTGCTCCTCCTGCCTCATTTTGAATAAAGAAAATCTGGGCTCAGCTTATCTAAACCAGAGACTTGCTTTTCCTAATACTGTTTCCATATGCAACTTCTAAGTGAAGGTGATGCACCAATGATTTCTGGTCTCATTTTAGTCAAGCACTGTCCATAACTGGACTGACTGGATTTGTCTTATCTAAGACCTTAACTTCAGAGAACAGTTCTGGCACTATTCGACAGCACAGATTTATTCTGTTTATTGCATGTTAGATGAGCTGGAGGGGTTATATTAGAATGACAGTTCTCAGTGTTACCTCTTCTGATTCATCTTTTCCTAAAGTAAAGCAACCCCCCCAAAATTTAAAATTAACTTGGATCAATTTTTCAAATAAGGAATCTAAATGACTATAGAAGAATTTACAGAGCTACATCTGGAATAACACACACAGACATATATTTTCTAATAACTATTAACAGAAAAAACAGCTAAAGATCTTCTCACAGAAAACAGATATGCACGGATGATAAATCAGCCCAGGTAGGCATTGTAAAATACGGTTCAATACACAAAGCACAAAAATATTAAACCGGTCAAATTTTACTTTATTTGGAAATGATACAAATTCATTATTTTAATATTTAAAGATTGGGGTAGTATAGTCAAAACACATAAATATTATAATATACATTTAGAAATTAAATATAAAGTCAACACGACACTCCATAAAAATTCATATGTACACTTCCGGTAAGTCTGAGGTTTGAGCATTCAAGCTCATTAGATTTCCCCATGGAAATGGATGAATCTTGCAGGGAGATTGTCCACAGGATACACGGTGGGACTGGTTTTCATTGTAGGAGGTCCATTTAGAAGCTGCCAGTCACAATGCCTGGCCAGCTCCACTGTAAATATTTTGAGAAGAATTTTTGCGAATTCTTTGCCTACACAGCTCCTAAGCCCTCCTCCAAAGGGAATAAAGCTGAACCTGGATGCATCCTCTGGGTGAGGCAGCATGAATCGGTCAGGATTAAATTCTTCCTTGTTGGTAAAGATCTCTGCCACATCATGAGTATCACAGATACTGTAGATAACATTCCAGCCCTTGGGAATCTGGTATCCCTGCAAAAGATGATGAAACCCCAAGGGCTGACAAACTGGAATTTAACTTTCAACAACAAAAAGCTGTCCCTTTCACAAATGATACCTTTGCAGGGAATTATGAGTTAAAAGCGAGGGAGAGGTAGAAAGAGAGAGAGGTGGGTCCAGGTTGCTGAGACAGGCTTCCATATAGGGCAGAACAATGATCAAAAGCATAAGACTCGCAGCCACAGCACAGGGAAGCAAGAGGACTTTTTAAACCACAACAAAAGGGAGGGAGAAGAGAATTTTCACTTACATTTAACTCAAAAGTCTTCAGAGCAACCCGAAACCCTCCTGGAACTGGAGGATTCAGTCGTAGGGTCTCCTTAATAACACACCCGATGTATTTAAGTTGTTCCAAAATTTCCATGTCCAACTTGTTGTCTTGATTGCTCTTGCAAAGTAAACCCTATCAAAACAGTCATACAGAGGTGAACAGTTATTTTGTGCTCCGATAAAATCAGCCCAGCAGACGTAAACAGGGCTTAAGTTGAGACTAAACCCAAAGGGCCCCATGATAGACTGGGAAGGGGAAACGGCAGCTAGTGACAATTTGCCTGCCCAAATCCACTATCTATTTACAATTCCAGGAGAATGCTGCTCACCAGTTAGAAGGGCCAAGCTTCTCCCTGAGCCCCCACCCCCAACCATCCACACTAATCAGCCATTCACACTGATCACACTATGCATACCCTTAGACACACAAATTCAAGAAGGTGGAACCTGTCTGAAAATCTCCACTGTTTGGCAAAAGGTGGAGGAGGGGTAGGAATACAAGGTCAAACCCTGCCCAAGTGGGATCACAGCTCAAGACTCCATCCTGTTTATTCACAAAGCTAATTCTCCCCTCTGGCCCACCCACCCCTTGGCCCTGCACTTTCAAAATACTCCCTGAAAGCAGCACACTGACTTCATCGCAAGTTGGCTAGGGAGCAGCTGAATTTTCTAAGCTAAGGACACCCCCAGCCCCTGTCTCCCTACCTTACTTTTCAGCTCTTCTCGAACTTTCTGGAGAACATGTGGATAGAGCCCCAGGTAAGTAATCAGAGATGTGGCTGCACTGGCTGTGGTTTCGTGTCCTCCGAAGAGGAGTTCTGTTGAAGATTGCTTTAGTGCCTAAGAATGGAGTGAGACCCACGTTTCACAAGTCTGCAAGCAGTTTGACAGAGGGAAGACTAGAAGGGCTAAACGTTTTACTGACAGAAAGTCAAGGAAAGCAGTATCTTTAAACAAAATGCAAAGTCCCTTTAGTTCAGCTAGAGCCGTAAGGCGAGTAGGACCCCACTCTATCGCAAACTCCTGAGTTAAAGTCTTAGTTTTATTAAAATAGCTAAGTTCTTTATTAAGATCTTTGCAAATTCCAACTTTCCCTTTGAAACCTGGAAAGGGTAGGGGACGCTCCCAGTTCCGCTGCAGCCCATTCTGCTGCAGCCCCTTCCGCAGCTCTCTCGACCCGGTGGCTCAGCCTTCGGGATGGCATCGCTGTAGTATGGGTGGGCCGCTCACTCCAGAAAGCTGGGCCCCAGGCCGATGCTTTGGGGGCCCCAGGAACCGCGCTTGGAAATCCAGGGGACAAACTCCGCAGTGCCTGGTCTGAAGCTGTCACTCACCTGCATGTCCAGCCGCTCTCCCCTCTCCCAAGAGTGCTCGATCAACAGCTGCAGCGCGTCTTTGCAGCCCGGGCTAGCCTCGGATGCCCGCAGTCCGCAGATCTTGGCGCGAATGTTCTGCTCGATGCGCGCGTGAATGAGGTTCCGCGCCTTCACGCCCTGAGCGCAGAGAGTGCGCGGCGGTAAGCAGACGCCCGGGTCCCGCGCCCCTCGTCCGCAGCCCGTTTGCCGTGCTTACCCGGTACAGCCCGCTGAAGGGCACGTCGATGGGCAGCGAGAAGAGATTTCGGGTCATTTCCTCGAAGGCCTCCACCAGCTGCTGCTCGGCGTCCCTGTCGCCCGCCAGCTGGGGTTCGCAGCCCAGTAGGATGCGCATGGCAATGCGGAACATGAGGCGCTTCACCTCGGGGTAGACCAGGAGGCCGCGCTCGCCACAGCTCAGCCACTGCTCCAGGCTGCTGCCCACTTCCTCGATGATCACCGGCACGTAGCACTCGAGTGCCTCGCGGCTGAAGGCCCGCATAATCACCTGAGCCCCAAGGAGGGGAGAGCGTTAAGACCCTCCATCCGCCCCTCTCGTCTCCCGCCGTCCCCTTCCAGACACCCCTAGTCCCGCCAGACACATGGCACTCTCCGGACTGGAAAAGCTAACCTGGAACTGGCAAAGGGTTCTAGCCCACCTCACGCGGCTAGCCCGCGCCCAGCATCCATCGGCCGGAATCCCGCTCACAAATGGGGTCCCCCTCCCTGTCCAAGCATCGCCCCCCGCCCCCACCTTCTTGCGCTGCTTGTGCGAGGAATCGTGCAGGTTGGAGAGGCAGCCAGATCCCAGAATGGTGCGCACTGACGCGGGCCAGTGGACCGACACCAACCGGTGCTCTCCGAGCAAGATGCGCCGTACATTGTCCGCGCCCATCACCCGCACCGTGGGCCGCCCGAACAGATGCGTCTTGTAGATGAAGCCGTATTTCCTGCGCTTCATCTGCAGGAACTTCCTCCGCTGTGGGAGGAAGGCCGAGGAGAGAGGCGAGCATGAGGGGGCGCCGGGGAGCGCCGCGCCTCCCGCCAGCCCTGCTCCTAGCCGCAGTCGCCTGCCTCCCGGGGGCTCCTGCACCGACTTCAGCAGAAGCCCAGAGCCGCGCCGGCCTCCGGGGAAGCGGCCTGTCCCGCCCCAGGCTCCCTTACCTGCAGCACCATCTGCAAGGTTTCCCCAAAGAAGGGGAAGCCCATAGTCCCAGGGGGCAAGGGGAGGGCACAACTGCGGTCGCGGCCGCTCACGCAGTACAGGTCCCAGAGCTTGATCGCAGCCAGGAAGAGCAGCAGCGGCAGCACGAAGGTGCAGAGCGCACTGGCCAGCAGCGCCGGGAGCCCCATGGCGCGCCGCGACCTCCTGCGCCACCTGCCGCCACCGCCAGCGCTCCAAACCCCGCGGCGCGGCGGCTTTATAGGCGGCCCAGGTTGCTGCCCACGTTACCTTGGTCAAATTAGTTCACCAAAAGTTCATCTTTAATTGCGGATTGGGCCCCTGGCTCCTCCCCCCGCGAGGCGCTGCCCAAAATCTTTAACCGTTTGTTCCGCGCTGAGGCAGAGGCGGCGTGGTGGCGGCTTCCCTCCGAGCGCGCCTCCCGGGGTGCGGGGCTAGGAGCTGCCCGCCTCCCCGCTCCAAGGTGTGCCGAGCTCCGAGGCGGCGATGGGGGAGGGCCGAGGCTCAGAGGAGCCGGAATTCCAAGCCCTAGCCTTCCCAGCGGTCTCTTTGGAATCCCTCCCACCCGGTCCCACCCGCTGCCCCGGCCCAAAGCAGCCTTCACTGGCTTTCCATTTCCAGGCGCTGCGTGGGCTCCCTTCCACCTGCTGAGAAAGCAAGGAAAAGTCCGTTCAGGAATCGTCCAGCTGCCTTCCCCTGCGGGTGGGGAAACTGAGGTCCAAAAGAGATGCATAAAGCAGGCCTCCCGACTTTTCCGAAGGATCGCACAGAAGAGCCCAGGGACTGAGTCCAAGAGAGAGCCGCGGGGCATCGGGCGCAATAGGCAGATCTGGGATCCCCAGCTTCCCAAGGGGGGCAGCACTCGCGAAGTCTTGGAAGGTCCTACTTCAGGATACAAGAAGGCATCAGGTCCCTCAGGTACCCAGGTGCTACTCTGCACAAGCCTCATCCCCGACTCTGGGGCACTTCGCCTAGGCAGTCGGCGCCCTGCTCTGAGATCCGAGCACAGCACCACCCCCGTCCCCCACTCCCATTCTGAGAGCTCTGCAGCTTGGGGCCTCAGCTGGGCAGCGGGGAAGGGGTCCTTAGCCCTGGCCGGGAGAGACGGAGAAAGAGGAAAAGGAGTCCTGGCTCCGAGGCCCGGCTCCATCTCTATTGCTCGTGACCTTGGGCAAGTCACCACACATCACATCACTGCCTGCTTCCTCCTCCTTAACAGGGAGGCGCTCATTCCCGACCTTTCTAAGCCTCGGGGCAGTGAGTTCCCAAAAGGGGGCTCCAGTTGCAACTATTCTTCCCAGCTCCAGGAACGGTAGGTTGTGCAACCTGGGTGGCCGGGACAGCGGGCACTGGAGTCCTCCTTCTCTCTCTCAAGTCCTACCCTTAGTAAAGTCACTGTCTTCACCCAGGTGAGAGTGTGCTCGGCCCGAAACTCAGGCTTTTGCCGACTCCCAGTAGGAGTGGTGAAGGAATCCGTACTGGGAAGTCTTCAGTACTTTGCCCAACTACAGTCACCTTCTACTGTAGCCAATGACGGGAGCTCGGACGCTGCGGGACGCGCACCTGTGCTCCCGGCTCTCCACCTGGCGGAGCCTCCCGGCTCGGGACTAGTCAGGGCCACACTGTCCCTGGGTTTGGGCGCTGAACGCACGAGCGGCGCCGAAAACGAAACAGAATGACGTGCGTTTGTTTAGAACTAACACTGGCTCTGGGAGAAGCCTGCCGCACGCCTTGAAGAGAGAGTCCCTTGGAGATGGAAAACTGCTCCTGAGAGCTTAAATGAGTTGCCCTTCTCGCGGTGGTCCCCAAACCCGGAGGTATCAGGAAATATCTGCCGAGGTCGTAGGGACCCGCACAATCCTGGCGACACTCCAAGCCGGAGTCGCTGCCACAGGGCATGTTTCGGGGGGATCAGCGTTTCCCCATAACCTGCCCAGCGTTTCAGAGGCTCTGGGCAGGGTTTCAGTCTCTGGCAAACGATTTGGTGGCTGTAAATACGGCGAGCCAACCTCTGGCCACCGCAGGAACCCGGGCCAATCGCGCTGGAGGTAATTCTCAGAAATTCCGGGTCCGCCCCTTTCTGGACAGCGCCTCCGGCCGGTGTGCAAAGCCTGCGAGCGGGGACATGACCTGGGGCCCATTCCCAATCCTCGGTCCTGACCCGCCTGTGACCCCTGTAGGCCGGACCGTGACATCCGAGTGATCTCTGCGGGGCCACCTAGCCAAGTTCAGCGCAAGCCGGGTCACAAGATGAGCTGGAAATTGCCGCAGGGATAAAAAACATTTTAATCTATCTGTCCATTGAGGCCGGCGGGGGCGTCAGACAGGAAAGGATTAAATGTGAGAGTGAACGATCATTAAAGAACATCTTGAAGGGGGGTAGGGCGGCGGGGGGGTCAATAAATTACCAGCCCAATAGGAACTTTGATCTAGGAACCTTGCCAAGCTTTCGTGGGTGGTGGTGGGTGGGGAGGGGGTTGGTTCACTGAAAAACAACTTGTTTCCAAGATGTTTACAAAACAGCCTCCCTATCGCTAAGGGGCAGGGGTGGGGAGTCCGGTTGTTTTGCTGGTGGGGAGGGGTGAGGGCGCTGGAGTCACAGCAAAGCAGGCCACCTCCACTTTTCTCCTTTCCGCCCCTCTTCCCATTTCCGAACTCAGGGTTTTATACCTGCTGAGGCACCCCTCCCCCAGGCCACTGCTGGCTGGGTCCTTCCCAAGTCAAATGTCACCTCCTGCAAGGTTCCCCCCACCCATCCAGCCTAATTTAGCCACAGACACTCTGTATCACAGGCCTGTTTTATTTCCATTACGGCGCTTATCACCGCTGGACATATTCTTACTTTTTTGTTTGCTAGTTTATATCTTGTCTGTTTCCCTCTGAGCATGTCAAGTACAGAGGGGCAGGAACCTCCTCAGCTCCTTCCCTAGAGAATCTGCAGCTACTAAGACAGGAGCTCAGCTATCCCTTGAAATTACTGAGCATGATGTACCCATGGAAAATTAAAATTGGAGCCACCCCCACAGAGGCTTAGAGTTAGTCCAGACCCCAGAGCAGGTCTACCAGGTCTTCTTGGAACCAGCTCGACTGGCCTTGCTTCTGAGGGTCCCCACCCCATTCTTCTCTCCTCTCTCGAAATCACATCAAACCGGAAGCCTGCATCCTTCTCCTCATCCAAACCCTGCTTCTCAGGCTAGGCTGTCCTCTGCATCCTCAAGAGTCCTCTTAGGGCAGGCTCATAGCCTGCCACCTTTGCTGCCCCTGGTGTCTGCCGAGCTCAGGGCCTGGCGCCAGGCTCTTGACTGGCGATGGGTGATGAATTGCCCTGTATGGGGGTTATGGCGGCGTCAGCCCAGGTCGGAAGGGCCCGCTGCGCTGTGGAGCTACTAACCCTGTAAGCGCCTGCTGTGTCCCCCTTCCTTCTGGCCCCACAATCCACCTTAAGCATAAGGTCAGAAGGGCACTGGCTTCCTTCTGGTTCACTAAGGGGTCAGCTCCGGCCTTGGCGGCTACTTCCCTGGCTCACCGGTTAGGTCCAGCTGCCCCCGCCTGTCAGAAGCTGGGTGGCAGATTGAAGTGGGCTGTTGGGAATGGTGACATAGAGGCTTTTGGCTTTGATTTACACACTGTTTGGAACCTCCGTACTGGAATGGTTGAGAGAGTCCTCAAGTCAAGCTAGGGCTTATCATGAAAAGGAGGCCAAAGGGTTCAGCCCTACCTGATGGCTGCAAGAACAGAGGTTGGGGCAGAAGAGTGAAGGGATCAGGTGGGAAGAGCACTGGCTGGGGAGTCCAGGAGCCTATTGCTGGGCTTCTCAGGTGAGTCATTCACCTCAATTGCTCCTCAATTTCTCCTCTGTGATAGAGAGGATGGTGAAGCAGTAAAACCAGAAGTCCCTGAAATGGCAGGGAGGGGTAAGCACACAGGGACTGGAGTCACAGGAAAGCAGTGACTCCAGGGAGCAGTGGCTCATGCCTGTAATCCCAGCACTTTGGAAGGCCAAGGCAGACGGATCACTTAAGCCCAGGGGTTTGAGACCAGCCTGGGTGACATGGTGAAACCCTGTCTCTACTAAAAATAGAAAAAAATTAACTGGGCATTGTGGCATATGTCTGTAGCCCCAGCTACTCCCAGCTACTCAGGAGGGTGAGATGGGAGGATGGCTTAAGCCCAGGAGGCAGAGGTGGCAGTGAGCTGGTCATGCCACTACACTCCAGCCTGGGGCACAGAGGGAGATCCTGTCTCCAAAAAAAGGGGGGGGAAAAGGTCCCTGAAACCTGGAGACAACTCACAGCCCAGCTTCAAGGGTTATACTCAGAGAGAAGTCAGGGGAGCCCAGGCCCCCGGCTGCCCAGCTCCCAGCTCCTCTCTGGGTATACTCTGTGGTGGGTCCTTCCCGGCCTTCCCAACCCTCACCCGGGTGCTTTCCCCCCAGGGAGCAGCTGCCCAGCTAAGCCCTAGCTTCCTCACTTAACCACTCCTAAGACACTTTATTTCTTGGCCTTCCGACTTTTGATACAAATATCTAAACCTTTCTGATTATGTCTCAACTTCCCATGAACCTAACCCAGCGTTGGAGACGTGTTGGTGTGCCCAGTCTCTATATACATGAGAAGATTAAATACGTTCTTGAAGTAGGAATTTTTCTTTTTAAGAAGTCACCAGCAGAATCTAGTGACCTTGAGCTCTTTAGAGCTCCCACGGAGACCAGCAGAGTGGCCAAGGCGCACGAAGCCGGAGGCCAGCTGCCAGGGGGCCTTCCTTTGGGCCTCCTCTGTGTGTTTTTCTATGCCCCAAAGCCAGGCCAGGGTTGCGCCCACAGCTGCGTCCCCGCTTCTCTACATGGGTGGTAGGTCCCACCGCGTGCTCGGGTCTCTTTGCAAGGTCCTGTAGTTGCAATATCCCTACTCCCCTACCACCCCTACCCCGCCTTCCCCATCCATGCACCCTCCCTGGATTGGTTCGGGAAGGGAAAGTAAGGCAGCACCTAGTGGGGATCTATCTATTCCCTCCATTCCTGCTTCGAGAGCCTGTAAGCTTGGCCCACGACCTTGCCTTCCTCTGGGCGCGGCACGCAGAAGGCACCTTCCCATGGGCTTAGATGCTTCTCTGGCACAGGAGCGGTGGCTCGAGCTCCTCTTCCCTCGAGTCCGGCACACATTCGCGTTTGGTGAACGCTTGTTGAACGATTGTTGCACGAGTGAACGACAGGGTGCGCGACGCTACAATGGGGAGCTGCGGATGGGTGGCGCTGCCTGCTACAGCCACTGGCCTAGCCGTGTCCTACAGTGCAAGCAGGTCAGAGGCATAGCCCATCCCCTGCAGCCGAAGGCACGAGGGGGTGGAAAAAGAGCCGCAGCCCGTCCACGGGGTGCACAATGGGCACGGTCTGCATTGCAGGGAAGGCGGGTGTGGCCAGCTCCCAGCGCGCGGTACGCACCAGCTCCACAGCTAGCAGCTGGAGCACAGCCTGCGCCAGCTCCTGGCCGAGGCAGCTGCGCGCACCGCCGCCGAACGGGATGTAATGGAAGCGGCTGGAGCTGCCCCGCGAATCTTCGCGCGCTGAGCAGAAGCGCTCCGGGTCGAAGCCTTCGGGAGGGCTGCGGTAAACTGCAGCCGTCTCGTGCGTGTCTCGGATGCTATACATCACGCTCCAGCCCTTGGGGATCTGATAGCCCTGCGGAGAGGCGAGGACCAGCCTGACCACTAGGCACCTGGTAACTGGGGGCCCTGAACCGACACTCCACCCCAGTGGAGGCTTGTGAAAACCGACCCTCCACCCCATCAGGCTTCCGAAAACCAGGAGGAAACCGCGATTAACCCGGAAACCAGGAGAAAGCTCTGTGTTCCAATCTCAACTCCTTCACTGGTGAAATGTATGACCTTGGACTAGATGTGCAGTCTCTCTGAGCTTCAGTTTCCTCATTGAAAAAATGAAGAGGAAAATGCCCACTTTGTTGGTGAGGATTCAAATTAAGGAGTTGGCACATATGAGTGTTCAGTAAACAGGACCTATTAGTTAGGTCCCCGTTTGGTTTTGTCTGTCTTTTTTCTTCTGACCTTGGATCAGAAGACCTAAATTCTAGTGCTGCACCTACCAGCTGCTAGGGTGGGAGAAACACACATGACAATTCTTCGAGGTCAGATCCATTGCAGCGCTCTTCTTTGCACTGAGCTGAAAACCTCCCATCCTTCCCATCCATCAGCTGGACAATAATGTTCAGATTTGGTACCCACACTTTAAGAAGGCGCACATGAGAATCAAACTGGCCAGTCCTGAAAATGTTGGAAGGCAGCTTTCATGTTCCCTCTGCCCATCCCTAGCTTTTTCAACCGTTTGGCTTTTTGATATGCCTTCGAATACCCTCACTACACTGCTATTCTCATATCAAGTTCCAGGGTGAATACTCAAAACTTTCTAACTGGGGAACAGAACATCTTGGAATCATCCCAGGAGCTCTCTCTCCTCTCTAGACATCAGTGTCCTGGGAACTGGAGGGTGGCTAAGACCCTTTCCTGTCTTCTGCTCACTTACTGGTTCTGTGCTCCCCTCCTGTTTCCCCTAAGGTCATGGAGGGCATTTTGGTGCCTGCAGAATGAAGCTTGCATTCCAAGACTGAGTCCCCATCCAAGACACTTATCACCACTTTTGTCTGAGTCTGCTCTCTCTGTAGTGACCTCTCCCATCCTAACCTTTCACTGCTCCAGTTCAAATGCCAGTTCTCCAAATGTGTTGGTGTCATCAAGCACTAGAGATCACTCTCTTCACACCACAAGTGGGATGAGGCTGTCGGTCCTGGTCCCCTCCCTCTCCAAGTGGAGTTCCTCCAGGGCAGAATCCCAGTCCCTTTGATGCCTCCTAACCCTGGCACACAATATGCCACAAATGTTCACTGTGGCAGGAGGTGCCCATCTTTGCCTGGAGCCACCCAGCCACCAAGCAGGGGACTGCCGTGACAGCCTTTCAGGCAAACACCCGCTGCTTGGCACAGCCAGAGCCCCAGTGCCTGAGGCCACCACGGTACCCCCACAGCCCCGCCCCACCTGGTTGGAGTGTCAGAGCTGGAAAGAACCAAGGCAGCTTCCTTGCAGAGGGTAAACTGAGGCCCAGAGTGAAGAGGGAACTGCACAAGGTCGTACGGAGATGGAGTCAGTTCTAGACTTTAACCTTGCTCGGCCCAAACCAGCCTCATCGGTATTGTAATTCTCCCCACCCCTGGAATCTGGCCCCAGCAGGAGCCCTGGACGGGTTGCAGTGAGGGATTCCTTGATCTTATGTGGGAGCCAAAGGTGTAGAGTACAGGACGTACTGAGGGGTTCTCTTTGTTCTCCATCCACACTCACTGGCTGGGAGGGGGCGCTACATGGATAAAAGTGTTTTTTATTCTAAAACTCCGCTCTCATTTAGTTGACCCGTGTGGACCGCCGCCAAGAGCTGAAGTGTACGAGATCCCTACTCTTGCGGGCTGGCCAGGCTTTGGTTCCTCAGCCCGGGATCGGGGAAGTGGAACAAGGCTCAGCCCATTTTACAGGACTGAAGGATGAGGCTCGGAGAGCAAAAGAGAAGACCGCGCCGTCTGAGTCCCTCCGCCCTCCTCCCACCTGGGCGCCGCGGCAGGCGGCAGGAGGCTGGCAGTGGGCGGGCGCGGCGCACTTACGTCTAGCTCGAAGGTGCACAGAGCGGTGCGGTAGCCCCCGGACACGGGCGGCAGGAGGCGCAGCACCTCCTTGACCACGCAGTCGACGTAGCGCAGACGGCCCAGGGCTGCGAGGCTGAGGTCTGGCTCGCAGCCGCAATCCGGCAGGGGCCCCGAGCCGCCTCCCGCTACCCCAGGTGCGCAGCCGCACGCGCGCCCCAGCCCCTGCGCCACCAGCTCCTCTCGGATCTTGGCGATGGCCGCTGGGTGCTGCAGTAGCAGCAGGACGAGCGAGGTGCTGGCACTGGCCGTGGTGAAGAAGGAGGCGAAGAGGAGCTCCACAGCCGACTCCTGCAAGATAGCCCCGGGCGGCACTGAGTCTCCCGCACCGGGGCGCTGGCCCGACGGCCCCCCGGAGATGAAAGTTACCCAGATTTACTACTGCGCAAAGCCAGAGGCAGAGAAGTGCTATTCCTGCCGCGACTATGTGCACCGTTTTGAAGTGAACTAAATCCCAAGTCTGCCACTTGGGAAAGTCACCTATAGCAACTGACAAAATTAGGATCTATCCCCCCGCCTTGCGATGGTTCCCAGAGAGAATGCGGGAACTTACTCTGTGCCCTCTCCTTGGTGCTTTAAGAATATTCACTCATTCGGTTCTCACCCCCCCTCCCCTCTGTGAGGCACAATTGCTGCTCTTGTTTTATGGAGTTGAAAACGGAGGCTCCGAAGAAGTGCTCAGGGTCCCACAGCTAGCACTCGCAGCCGGGCTCAGCGCTCTTAACCACCTGTGGTGCTGCCTCCAACCCCAGCGGAGCGGCCTGACAATGGCTACAATGCAACAAAGGCATCTGCAGCAGCAGCAGCGCCAGCCTCCTACCAAGGCCAGCCTCACCACTTCATCCTCTCCTTACCGCAGTAGTCCCAGGAGTCACAAAAGGTCTTCCTGGTCTGCTCTGCCCAAGAACGGCAGAGGAGGGGCCTGGTGGCTTCATCCTCCAGGCTCCAGTGCTGACTGCTTGCCTCTGCCTTCTCAAGTCCCACCCAGTGCCTTCCTTGCTGGCAGCACCCACAGTTTGTTTTATACACTGATTCACGCTATCACAAGATGTACGTGTTCCTTCCCCTCCTGAACCTCGAGCACACTGACTGTGTTTCGCTCACCACTATATTCCCAGTCCCAGCGTGGAGCCTGGCACTGAATAGGTGCAAAATAATATTTGCGGAATGAAAGACCTGGTTGCCCACTAACCTTGCCCTGCACCAGACAAGAGGGTAACTGGGATGGAGACTCCAGAGCCCCCAGCATCCTCCCTGCCCAGCCCCTGAGGTCCAGGCCAGAACTGAAGATTCCTGGCCAGTGAGTCCCTTCCTGAGAACCGGGAGGGTGCTATCACCCCTACCCAGCCCTGTCCACTCCTTTTTACTCTGCTCCCCTTAGCCCAGAAGAGTCCCTGTCCACCTGGCTCCCCCAGGACTCATGAGTCCATTGCTCATGTTCTTTTTGTTTGTTTGTTTTTGAGACGGAGTCTTGCTGTTGCCCAGGCTGGAGTGCAGTAGTGTGATCTCGGATCACTACAACCTCCACCTCCCAGTTTCAAACAATTCTCTGCCTCAGCCTCCCAAGCAGCTGGGATTATAAGCACCCACCACCACACCCAGCTAATTTTTGTATTTTTTTAGAAGAAACAGGGTTTCACCATGTTGGCCAGGCTGGTCTCAAATTCCTGACCTCGTGATCCACCCAAAGTGCTAGGAATACAGGCGTGAGCCACCGCGCCCGGCCTACTCATGTTCCTATTAGTTCCATTCTCAGAAAAGAAGCTAAAGCTGAGTCCACCCTTCAGGGATGTCTGGTAGAAAGTGGGAAACTGAGGCCCAGAAAAAGGATGGGTGGTAGTTGCTTATGGAAGATTGAGGTCTCCCAATTTCTAACTTCCCCTCCCCCAAATGTCACTCCTTTTTGGGTGCTGAAGTGGGTCCTGAGGCCATTCCAAAGCTTCTCCCCTCCCCTCCACTGTGTGTGTGATGTGTGTACATGGGGAGGGGTCCTAATTCTCCAGGAGATCCACAGCAGCCAGACAGACAGATAGAGGTGCCAGATGTCAAGGTAGCTCATAGAAGGAGAGAGGTGATTTTGGAAGGAAGAGGGGAGCTTTGAGGATGTGGAGTTTGATCCTGAGCCCCTTAGAGTTTTTACAAAAATGAATGATGAGGGCTTTGCAAGCAGGGGGACAGCAGAGGCAAAGGCATAGAATGGCAGAGAAGTGGGTGGGGAAAGAAAAGGGAAGAGAGCCGTTTGTGGCCAGAAACATACAAAGATGGGCCTAGGATTCTTGGCTTCAGGTCTCCTACTGACAAGGGTGGCAGGTGGCTGTAGGCTGCACAGCTAGTGAGTGTGGCTGAGACATGACTGAAGCCCAGGTCTCCTCTTTCCCCTCATCTGAGGAGTGCCTCTGCCTCAAAGTGGGGCCACACAGGATGTGGCTCTGGGGATGCAGCACTGGTGTAGGGGCCTGCTGGGGATGCAAAAGATGGGGGAAGGAGCAACCTCCCAGCCCCTACCTTCAGCTCCTGCATGGAGGGCTCGTGGCCCAGCTCCCTTGCACTGTGAATGATCAGGTCGAGGGCATCACCTGGCTCTGCAGCCTTGTCCTCATGAAGCTTCTCAGAAATGGCCCCGTCCAGGTGCCGATGCAGCTGGTCCCTTGCCCGGATGCCCTGATGTGCAGGGAGAGAAGAAAGATGGGGCAGGAAGACTAAGGGGGCCAGTCCTGGCCACTTACCCAGAAAACCTTCTCAGCACTGGCTCTGCCAACATCCTGGTGATAACAGCCTTCCAGCTTAGCTCCTGGCCTGGCATATGGCTGGGCACAGTAAATGGTTGGGGATATGTCCACTGTCCACAAACAACATTCTGTCTTGATTATCACAAGCCCCCTCTGAGCCATGGCAGAGTTTACTGTCATCCTGAGGAGAAGATGTTCAGGTTCAGAGAGGTCAAGCAATTGCCCAGAGTCACACAGCTGTCTGTGACCATGCCTGGCACCAAGCCCAGTGTGGCTAGGGTCAGCCCATTGCCCTTTCCCTGCACTAGGCTCAGGCCAGGGCACCTTGATGCCCCCAGCAAAGCTCTGACTTAGAGGACACTATTGTATGTTGTAAGCATTAGCCTCTGTAAGGGCACGGGCAAGAGGGGATGCCTCTCCAGAGTTCAGGGAACAGTCACAGCAAAAGCATCCCCTCAGGGAAAACACAGTAATTCAGCACTTGAGTTCTGTAGTCAGAGGAGAAGGGGTTCAAGTCCTGTTTCTGCCCCTACTAACGGTGTGATCTTGGTAAGTCAATAAAATAAATTTGGTCAATAAAATGAGAATAATAACACTTTGCAGGCTGCGATGATTAGATCAGAAAATGTATCTACAGTGATCACCCTATAGCATGATCTTTTATACATATTATTTTTATTCAGGTGACAGAAAATCAGGGAATCAAACAGTGGGAAGTCCCAGAACAGGGCGACCAAAAGGCGGGATGGGCCATCATAGCTACTCTGCGGGTCCTGCCCATTTCTCTGAAGTCTGGAGAGGCAGCAGTTTTCTGATCTGGAAACCTAGAGGGCCCAGGGCCGGTGGAGCCGACACCCATCCCCATGGGTCCGGGGCTGGTGCCGGGCTGGTTCGGGGCGCATCTGCAGCCCTCGCGCTCTCCACGGTTCCCGTTCCCCAGCCATCGGGGCTTCAGAAGAGGTGATGGGGCCTGACCCAGAGACACCGCTGTGGGAAGGGATCGGACCGACTGGCTGGACGTCTGCCACCGAGACTCCAAACTCTGGCGGCCCGAGCTTGCTCAGGCTGGAGGGTGTACCGGCAGGCGCGTCCCAAGGAAGGAGTGTGGCCCGCCTCGGGTCACACAAGCGAACCAGCACAAAGGCCAGGTCCGGAGCCTACAGCCGCGCCACCGCCACGACGCAGCCCACCCCGAGGCCGCGCCGCCGTTACCCAGCAGAGGTGACAGACGCGCGGAGTGGGCGGAGGGTGCCCCGTCTGGGTCTGGGAGGCCAGCCTGCGTCGCGGAACCTCGGGAGAAGGTCTGAAGCTGGGGCGGCCGTACCTTGCGCAGACCACTGAAGGGCACGTCCAGAGGCAGTGAGAAGAGGTTCTCCACCAGCTGTTCGAAGGTCCGGGCCAGCATGGCGCACTGAGCCTCGTCCAGCCGCAGCCCCAGCAGGATGCGCGCGGCCATGCGGAAGGTGAGCGCTTTGGCGGCGTCGTAGACCGAGATCGGCCCGCGCGCCGCGCACCAGGAGCGCACCTCACGCCGCAGCGCCCCCTGCAGGCGCGGCACGTAGAGCTCCAGCGCGGCGCGGCTGAACACTCGTGCCAGGACCTGCGGGAGCGCGCGTGATCAGCGCTGGCGGCGGTCGGGCCTTCTCTGCTTGGCGATTCCGGAATAGCCAGTAGGCCAGTTCCGGTTCTTTCCCCTTCTTCTAAGCAGCCCATACCTATACTTGCTGGCTTTTGCTTTCACCATTTCTCCCAGTTCTGCTCTAATGAACATAATCCCTCCCATCTAGGCTCCAGCTGCCATCTCCTCCAAGAAGTCTTCCCTGGCCCCTCTCTAGGCCTGAGTCTCCAGCGCTTCTGGTATCACAGTCACAGAAGATGGGAGATGAAAGAGCCCTTTAGCGCAGTCCTAACTTTATAAATCAAAGCTGAAGGTAACGGACCCGCCCAAGGCCACCCGATCCTAATCAGGCACATAGGTCGGATTCCCAGTGAACGCAACACTGGGGACCCGGCCTGACCCATTGCAGATGCCGGGGACCGCGGATCCAACATTTCCACGGCCCATTCCCGTTTCCACTTACCTTGCGCCGCCGCCGATGCGGATCGCCGACGGCACCTAGCAGTGTGTGCTCGCCCAGCAGGATGTGCGCGCTCTGCGGCCACTGGCTGCGCACCAGGCGGTGCTCGCCCAGCAGGATGGTGCGCACGTTCTCTGCGCCGCTGACGCGGATCACTGGCCTGCCCAGCAAGTGAGTCTTGAACACTGTTCCATAGCGCTCCCGGCGAGAACTGTGGAAGCGCGAGCCCTGCGAGCGAGGCAGAGCGAGGAGAGCTGGAACCTCTGGGCCCGGGCCGGGGATCTGACCCAGACCTCCCAGCTGCCTTTTTGGTCACAACTCCCTGCCCCTGGCTGACCCTGGCTGGCGCGCTTACAAAACAAGATACCCAATGGGCCTGACAACTACTCTATGGCAATGTACATGCTCCTGGTCCTATTGGTGAGATGAGGAAACCGAGGCTCAGAATGAAGACGTGAGCGCCCAAGGACTCACAGCGGAGACAAGCTCCTTTTCTACGCTTGCAGCACACGCTCCTCAGACCCCTTCCTAAAACCCCTTCCGTTTACCGCCTGCATTGTGTCGGGGAATTGCTCTGGGGAGAATTACAGTGACTTGAGGTCCCTTCGAGGGAACGGAGTAGGTGGGCAAAGGAGATGAGTTGTGCGTGCTTCCTGGGGTCGTGGGTGATGAACAGGGACTGGCTACAAATCCCGTGGGCATTGAGACTCAGGTGGGTCCAGTGGGAACCGAGAAAAGCGCTCGGGGTCGAACGACTGCTCACCTGAACTAACCAGTGCAGCGTTTCACCGAAGAAGGGCCAGCCCATGGAGCCCTTGGGCAGAGGCAGAGTGGAGGCCCGGTCCCGGCTCAGCATCCAGCGGAGGGTCCAGAGGTGCTGGGCTAGGCTAAGCAGCAGGCCGGTGCACAGGAGAGCAGTGCCAGCCGCCCCCAGCACTGACAGGCAGCTCAGCCCCCAAGGAAACATGATGAGCCCGCGGGGCCCAGGCCGCTGGGAGCGCAGGGAGTGCAGGGGACTCAAGAACCTCCAGAGCAGTGCGAAGTGCTCACCTGTTCTGTCCGGAAAGAGTCTGGAGCTTGGGGGCCAAGCCGGAGATTTATAAGCTTGGCTGAGAACTCCGTTCTAAAAACAGACGGGCGGTGGAAGACGGCAGTGACTGTGCGCCCTTAGGAAACGTGCCTTCCTCGAGGCCGGCGAGCTCAGGACATTTTCCCAGTTCCTGGGCCCAAATGCCAGTCCCTCTTGAAGATGCCCGCTGCCTCCGTAATGCTCACACCCCGCGGCACCTCCCACCTCCTCCCGGGCTCAGCACTCTTTGGATAGAAGCAGCGAGGGAGGGCGAAGAAAGGAGCAACTCACCACTGTTGCCAACCTGGTCTGCAGACCTCCCGCCCCACCTCTCCCTCCTCCAGTCGTTTAACCCTTCTCGGCCCATCCTGGACAAGTTTATATAGATATTGGCTCCCTCCCTAAGGACCGATACCGGTTCACACAACGTGACGTGTTTTGCATATTTAAAGCGCTCCACGCAGAGTGGTGATTGGTGGCCGTGGGCAGCGGCACACTCAAGGAGGGTGCTCTGAGTAGGGAGTGGCAGTGCTTGGGCTGGGCTCGGGGCTTGCACTGCGCACGTCCTCGGGCCGGACCTGCGGGTTCGAGCCAGAGTTTCCCGGCTCTTCGCAGGCGCTCAGAAAGTCTACGAACCCAACCGGCAGAAAAGACCCGGGCTTGCGCCCCGCAGCGCTCCTGGCCCACCCCGGCGGCCGCTGGCTCTTTCTGCGATCCCGCCCTCAAGCTTCTAGGTGACCCCTCTCACCACTCCAAGGTGAAAGGACTAGGCTTTTCTCTCCTTTGCTCCTATTTTCAGGGAAACTGCGGTAGCCAACGCCTGCGTTGGCTTCGCAAGAGCCCACTAGGGATAGCCGGGACGAGATTCTCCGAGATCCTCTGACAGCTCCCCACCTCTCCCGGCTCTCTGATGTATCACGTCAGGTATCCTTCCATAGATGCCAGTTCCACTGCTGCCCTAAGCTTCATAAACACGCCCTAAGCCTCTAGAAGTGGATACCCACCAGCACCTTTCCGGTATCAAGGGCCGAATTCATCCTTCCCTCCCTCCCCCAAATTTCCCCGCGGACTCTAATCTACACTGCTACATTTTGGGCTTTGTGCGTCCCATCCAAGTGTTCCAAATGCCTCAGGACTCACTCGTCCTTGTCCCTACAGCGCAACCTGGGGTGTGTGGAAGGGTGCAGGGTGCTTGTATTATTGGGAAGAGTACAGAGGACCTACAGTGGTCTGCTCCAGGCAGTGCAAAGGCAGCATCTCTCTGAATCCTGGGATGTCTCACCCAAAGCAGGCAAGACACCCAGGTTGGCTGGAGGGCTGGGTAAAGCACAAGGGATAGCCACATTCCAGTCTTCAGAAAGAGCTAGCTGTTCACCGCTCTTCTCTTCCAGATTTTACTGTGCTTGAAGAATTACCACGCTTTTCATGTAATATCTTTAAAAACATGAAATACTGTGGATTAAGAGATGATCAAGAGAACAAGTGCATATATATAATATATATATTGTTTGTTATATAATATATATATTATTTATATATATAATATTATATATATAGTTTGTTTGTTTTGGTGTCACTCCCATTCCAATAACTAGGAAATAATAAGCCTTTTCTCCAGGAAGTACTTGTTTTAAATCAGCAAGCTCTTAATAGACAAAACAGCAATGCATTTTCAACTTGCTCAATATTTTTAATATTTCATCACAAAATCCAGAGATGTACCTATAATTCTTTACACTTATTTTACAGAGTCAGGCATGGTTTCTTACAGGCATAAATCCTGAAAAGTCAAAGGGAGGACTCAGCATAAATACAACAAAAGGAGAATAAAGACTGGATTTATATTGCCATTTGGGCCACGGAAACATACACAAAAGAAAATGTACATTTGTTTTAGGTTTTCCAGAGTTCATTTGGTTTGGCTTGTTTCCACAATGAGGATACAGTACTGAAATCTGCTATTTGAAGAAAGTAACCTGACCCCTGTGGTAACTTGTGTGTGTAAGAACCATCTACCTTCACACAAGCTGCACCTGAAGTGGTTAGCCCCATTTTGTTCCTGTCCTCTCTTTTAACTGGAACCAAACCAAACAAATCCAGAATGGGGTCAGCTACAAGCAATATAGTTAGAAATATTAACCCTGATGAACAGAAACAACACTGCATCTTTAGAAAATCCAAAACCTTTTGTTCATATTCAGAATGATTAAATTAAACCACCCAAGTAGAACAAATAATTCACATTCTTACTGAGTTAAATCAAGTTTGATTTTAGGAAGCTTTAAAGATTTGTCTATTTCTCCCTCAGAATTAGCAGAATTATAAATTTTGGTCTGCTTAAATCACACTGAGGTGAAAATGAAAGCTAGAAAAAAAAAACTTATGAGTAGAGGCATAAGTTTTTCAAATGTATTTGTAATCAGTTTCATGTACAATTTGTGAGAATTTATGTATTACACTTCTGCATTTTTCCCCTAAAAGTGAAAAAAATGGTCATTTTTTCCATATATAAAATAGTATTCGATTATTTAAAAATCCATACAAATGATATTTATTACTATTTCTTGTTTAAGCCCTCCTGTATCTTCTCTATTGTATTTTTAGATTCTGTAAACAAATTACTATATCATGACCAATACTTGCTCGAGATCAATGTTGAATCACGGATTTGGTGTCACTGAGTGCAAGCGACGTGAAGTCTATGCATGCTGGGACATACCATTCACCAAACTTCTCAGCTGTTTCACAACTGTCTCTATCAGCTTCTGTTTGTCTCGATCATTCTTCCTGAACTGAGCAAATATATTGTTCTTTTTGCTAGTATCCTTCATCCTAGAAACATATGTGAATGAAGAAGCTTAGTAAAAGGAAATTAAAAGCTAAGCTGTCACAAGTTAAATATCTTGGCATGCTCTGAATTATCTCACACTAATCCTATGCTTGAAAAATATACTTCAAAGAAAGTAGGTACTAAATAAATATACAGATATAGCAACCATGCAAAAAATTAGAAGCTTTATTTTACATGCTATATTAAGTGGTATTTTTGCATTAGTATATACATCTAAAATATGCTAGGTTTGGCACTATCACACTATTTTCTAATATTATTCCACAAAGTATGCTAAAATACATACCCTCTATAGACTCTGCTAATCACATTCATAGCAAGATAAGGTGAAAGGAAAATAGCATTAGAAAATGCAAAACAGTAACGTTTTTGGCCCAGTTGCATTTCATGGCATTGTAAAATACATTTACATTTATTTTAAACACTTCCTCTTGTCCATTCAAGTCAAATACACCACAGATATTTTGAAATATAGGAAAATAATACACAATTTTAATTTAGAAATTGAAAATTTTAATAGTGATACTTTTTATTTTTATTTTCTTATCCAGCAGCCCCCAGAATCACGGCAGATTCAGAGAGACTCCCAATAGTGATACTTTAAATGAAATATGATTGAGTAAAGAAAACGTCTGCCACATAATGAGAAGGAAAAGTTGACACCTAAATTTAGGTTTAGTTGTACAAGATGCATCTGTAAATCCTATTACCTTGGTTTTTATTATATATTTTTTTCAAATCACATATTTCTCTACCTGTAAAGAATCCAAGTCCATAATATTAAGATTTAGATAACACTGGTGGCAAACATTCCAATTCCTGGTCACATCTGACAAAATAACTTCTTTCCTGAGTTATAGATTTTTTTAAAAAAGAAAGCTCCAATTGTCACATCCCCAGTAAACATATTTCTAAGGTCAATTAAGCTTGCAAATCAGAATACAAAGGCAAAGATGTTTTGTTCATATCAATATAAATAGCCGTTGCTTATACACTACACCAACTCTGAAGGGCAAGAAAGAAAGGCTTAACTTTTGGTCATTCAACTAGAGTGAGCTTTTAAGCTCCATCTAGACTTTTCTTTTTTGATAGAAATCTCTAGTTCTTCATTTTATCACTGAATCAAAAAATGCTGAAACGTCGCACAAAAAAGTTTTCAGAATATACTCACTTCTCCAAAAGAGTAAGGGCTGTGTTTGGATTCACCCGAAGGTACTTAGAAGCTGGCTGTCCATAATCAGCTAGATAAGTAGACCAATCCCAAACCATAAATAGGTCAAGGAGCTGAGAAAGATGGGGGAACATAAAATGTGAAATTATTTACCCACAGTTAATACATAAATTAAGTATATGCCATCCTTGGTCCATTTTAATACGGCGTGCTTCTTAGATGAAACAGAATGAGGAGATTCATTTTTAAAACTTCATTAACTGTACTTTATAACCAAAATAGATCTTTTCGCTTTGTTACTAAAAGTGCCACGGGGTATTTTCTAGTAAAATACTTTGTGTTTTCAAATAATTGCAAAGTAATTAAAACACTGTTAATAATAATATATATTAACCCTTGTACTGATGTAATTTTATCTTTATGCATTACTCAGCCAGTATCCAAATTTAAATAACAAAGGTTGCTGTACTACAACCTATACGAAGAATTTTGAAGAACTTAAATTGAACCTTTTTTACTCAGAGGTAAGTATGTTTACCTTTCAAAGATGCTGTTTGCACCTAGACTTTTTCCAAAGTAATTTAAACCAAAAGCTCAGATAATCTCAATTAAGTGCATTAAACAACCTCTGCTGGATTCTCTCTCGTGATAGATCCTCGGTAGTATAATTAAATGAGGGCTTCAGGATTCAGCCTAACTCTAGGCTACCATTTTGTGTAAACAAACAACAACAAAAAAGAAACTCTCTTGTTTCCCATGGTGTCTTAAAATTGACTGTTTACTTTATAATCTCCAGTTAGAATCGTTGTCAAATATGGAAGTAATCTTTTAAAAGCTATGCCATGCCTAAACCAAAGCACCAAACTCTTTATCCAACTTTAAAACCCTAATCCCCTTTAAGCCATTTAAAACCAACTTCCTATCCCCATTTGAATTGTTTCAGAAAGCTAAATGCTTTACTTACTACCTTCCTTTAGTTTTTATATTCTTTTTGTTTTAACTCGCTTTTTAAGTAAAGGGTCTTACAGGTTTTGCTTTCAAATGGAGGAAACATTTGCATTTACTTATGGGATACAAGAGCCAACCACTGACTCTGAGAGGGATAAAACTCTGGGGTGATTAAAACCTTATAAAGAAAGGTTACCAGAAACTAGCTTTTCTTGGTGAAGGTAAAAAACTTGTTTGACTCTTTCCCCATCCAATTTAAAGGTATTAATAGAGATTTTCTTGCAACAGGAAGAACACTGTATAATGAAAATATTAACCTATGAAAAGCCACTCTATTTTCTTACAGACAAGATACCATTCTGGCCCATTCCAAAAGTTGAAACACTGGGACAGAAGCTATACTGAGACAATGTCAAAGAATACACTGTCTGAAAAAGAAAAGGGAACTTAAAGTTCTGTGTAATTTTCACCTGTTGTTTGGCCACATTTTCCCCTCCCTTCACAAAGAGGAAAAGTTACTTTCATACACTCAGATGGTAAGAATGTAAACTAGTATAACTTCTCTGGAATGTGATTCTGCAATGTGTTTAAGAACCTTATAAATATGGCCATTCCCTTTGATTCAGTAGCCCTACTTCTCAGAATGCAACTTCAGGAAACAGACAAAAATTTATGCACAAAGATATTAATCTAAAAAATGTTATTTGGGTTATCAAAAAACTGAAAAAAGCCTAAATCTCAATATGAAGAGACTGGTTAAGTAGTGAGGCATATCTGTATGATGACTATCATGTGGTTATTAAAATTAATGTTTACATTGAATTTTAAATAACTTGGGATAATGTTTATGATAAATATTGCTACTTAAGTTACATAAAAACCCATCCAAAAGGACTGGAAGAAAATCTGAGAAAATGTTAAGAATGCTTGTTATAAGCTGGGCATGGTGGTGTGTTCCTGTAGTCCCAGCTACTCCGGAGGCTGAGGTGGGAGAATCACTTGAGCCCAGGAGTTGAGAGTCCAGCCTGGGCAACATAATGAGACTTCACCTGTAAAATAATAATTTTTTAAAAAGAATGATTGTTATTTCTGTGATGAGATTAAGATTAACTTATTTTCTTTATTTTTGTAATACTCTACAATGGATATGTGTTAATACTATAGTTATAAATAAGGTTTATAAATTTATATATTAAAATAAATTTCAGAAATGAACACCCCTCACAGAGTTGTCAATAGAAGCCTCATTTTCAAGGATTCTTCTTTCAGGTGTATATTTTTATTTGCACAACTGTGCATGTGCAATGCATGGAGTCAGCAGAAATCAACCACTTAAGGCTCTTTTTCTCTAGGCTAATTTAGTGGGAAAGGAGGAGCCTACTTAATGAATGAAAAACCTGCACCAACTCCAACTGTGAATACAGAATTGATTCTTTTACAGCACAAAACCGGACTGTCTTAGATAAAGAAACAGTATGCTTACAATGTTCACATATGGTCAGATACCCATATGCAAATCTCTTATATGCAAATCACTAGAAATTACAAGAACAACAAAATTAAACCTACTTGCCCATATGTAGACAAATCTAATCTATATGCTTTCATATTTACATTAATCTTTATTTATGTATTTATTTTTAAGACAGGGTTTCACCATGTTGGTCAGGCTGGTCTTGAACTCGTGGCCTCAGGTGATCCGCCCACCTTGGCCTCCAAAGTGCTTGGATTACGGTGTGAGCCACTGCGCCCAGCCTACATTAATCTTTATAAAAATATTTATAGGCCAGGTGTGGTGGCTCACGCCTGTAATCCCAGCACTTTTGAGGCTGAGGTCAAGAGTTTGAGACCAACCTGATCAACATGGAGAAACCTCGTCTCCACTAAAAATACAAAAATTAGCCAGGCGTGGTGGCGCATGCCTGTAATCCCAGCTACTCAGGAGGCTGAGGCAGGAGAATCGCTTGAACCCGGGAGGCGGAGATCACGCCATTGCACTCCAGCATGGGCAACAAGAGCAAGACTCCGTCACTCCATCTCTCTTTCTCTCTCTCTCTCTCCATATATATATATATATATATATATATATATATATATATATGCGCGCACACACACACACAAATATATATACATACATATATATACACACATATATATATTTATAGAAATACATCTTGTGCACAGTTAATTTACAGATATCTGTAGAAATTTGTTTTGTTTTTTGAGACGGAGTTTCACTCTTGTTGCCCAAGCTGGAGTGCAATGGCGCAATCTCAGCCCACTGCAACCTGCGGCTCCTGGGTTCAAGTGATTCTCCTGCCTCAGCCTCCCCAGCAGCTGGGATTATAGGCATGCGCCACCATGCCCGGCTAATTTTGTGTTTTTAGTAGAGATGGGGTTGCTCCATATTGGTCAGGCTGGTCTCAAATTCCCAACCTCAGGCCTGCCTCGGCCTCCCAAAGTGCGGTAATTACAGGTGCGAGCCACCACAACCAGCCTCAAGTTTGCAAATTAATAGTTAAGGAATTCATTGCCAATGCAGATAAAAAGGCCAAGCATCTAGATAAGATTCATTTATTTATTCCATAAATATTGACTGCTCACCTATCATGTGCTAGATACTGTGCTAGGTTAGGTACCAGAGATACAGTAATGGAACAAGACAAAATCTCTTTCCTCAAGGAGCTTACATTGTAAGTTGGGAATAAAAAGTAATCTTTTGAGTTAACATGGAAGAAATTATAAAGAAAAGTGATTCAGACAGAATCCTAGTAATTTAAACTACAGTAACACATGAGGAAGCTACTATAAGTTTAATACAGAATAAGATAGAAACCATTAACTTATGTAGAAGCTGGTAAATGCTTGCTCATGCCACTCTGTCTACCAATCCAAAGGCTGAAGATCTAATGGTTAAGACATTTCCGTGTCTGTGTCCCAAAGACTACACATGAACATGGGCAGAGAGCAAAGAGATGGAGCCAGCAAGCATGCTGATCTCATATTCTTATTTCTCATTTTCATGTGTCTAGGAATTTTTCAAATGCATAGTACTGCTGGAACAAGTAAATAGAAACAAACTTCAAAGCTGGGCAGGCAAGCTCATAAAGTGTGTCTAGCACAGTGTAACCATTCAGTAGCTATTTGAGAAATAACTGATTTATTGATGATGTCAGACCATTACTCCAAGTTTCCTTGGGAGCTTTTTTCTTAGGCTTCGTAAGTACAGACTACTTTAGCTTATTCTGATAGCTCTCTGGAAAAGGCCAGTGTTGGCTTTTAGGCAAACTATGCCAAGTGAATATAGTGAAGTGACATCCCTCCATCTCTCCCAGCTTTTCATTGGGGTATTGTTAAAGAGGAGAGATCCATCATAATACAGCATTGGGTCTAATGTTAAGTGAGTTAAATGATCTTCCTGGAGAAAGCAGCATTAATATTTCTGAATGGTCTACCAGCCTCCTTCATCCATAAGAATTACAAGGTCATTTTTCACTTTTTAAAATACAGTTCTAGTGAAGGATAAAACAGAAAACCAGGACTTTATTCCTGGGTCCCACCTAACATTATGCCAGGCCAGATTTTATGGACCAGGCCCATTTCCACAGGCGGCTATCCATGCCTGTTCTGACCAAGATGACCCTGGTCTTTGATTGGGATGACTTAAAAGGGGCATGATTGCTCTGGAGTCAGAGTGTGATGGGAAGGAAAGAGGAAACTGGGGTGTTGCCAGGTACAAACACTGATATTCGCCTTCACTCCACCTCAACAGTTATTGCCTTGTGGACTGCCTCTCACAATTGGTTAGGCTTCACAGGATGCACTATGTTCTTAATGCTAAGACCTACAGTATAAAAATCTCACTTGTCTACTTCAAGTTTTGCTTCCTTCAGATGGCAATGCCCAAATAATACGTTTTGTTATTAATCACACAAAATCTCTTTCAGTCTTGTAAATAAACGGTAGGACATGGTCTCAACAGGTGAATTTATTAGTTAACACATATACCTGAAGTTCAAAGATGTAGATCAAACATGAACAAAAACAAAAATCTCCCCAGATTACCCAAAAGCAATTTTACAATTACTTATTAAAGGATAAAGTCAGGCATATGATAATGAAAATTGGCATTAAGTTCTTTAAATGGGTTTCTTCCAATAGTCAA